ACTGTAAGACAGTACATCTTTGTTCTACAGAGATCTGCTCAAAAGGGTAGGCTAATATCTAGTGATTGTTATATATGTTTCATAACAAGAAAGCATATTAATAGCAGAATCTTTCCTAAAATAATTTTCTCATGGGCCTTGCCTATAGGAGAAAGTCTGTTGTGGATTATTTTAATTCTTGGCAGACCATCTCAGGAAGATCACCTGAGCTAGTTATTAGTTTGTCCTATGATGGCTCCTGACAATGACTTCAGGCTTTGGGCAGCTTAGAATGTTACGTCTTTGCCTAGGGCCAGAGGTAGAACTCAGATTCTATTCCTCTCCACAAAAAGATCACGTTCCCATAATGAACCTCTGAGTAACTCTGCTCTCTCCACCCACTTTCATATGGTATCTTAAATTTTGATTTGAGGGGGCCATTATGCTTCTTTTTCTTAAAATTAGTTACCATGGAAATGGGCAATGAAATTTAAAGCCTGTCCCCCATGAGGATAGAAGGTAACAAAAAACAAACAAACAAACAAAAAACCCAACAGTGCCATCTTTACTGGCTCTGTGGGGGAATTTCTGTCTTTTTTTCAAGATTCTGGTGGTTATCAGCAAACTTTGGCTTATTGACACATCACTTATCCATATCTCTTATCATTAAATGATATTCTGACTCTATAGACTTTATTCTAAGATAATTTATGATAAATTTGATTGTAAAAGAGTGATTTGAGAACCACTGTAATCTACCCCATCATTATAGCATCAAGAGGTGCAGCACTGGGACATGGCCCAGTCCAACAAGATATTTGGCAGGCAGAAGAGCATCTGTCTTCAAGCTCACTTTCAGGCCGTTACCCGGGATGCTTTGGAAGGCTGCTGTCTTGCCTATATCCCTGAAGAATGGAATGCACACCAAGACTCCTGAGCCATTTAGTGTGGATCTTTGGATCTTTCCAGGCCTCTAGACTTTCTGCATGGATCCCTCCCAGCAGCTCCTTGAGTCCGTTCATGAATGATCCCCAACACTGTGACCTCATAATTCACAGGACATCAGCACCTTTAGCTGGTCTCTGGTTTCCTGTCTTTTCTGCTATGCTTCCCTTTGGGGCACCACTCTTTTCTTCCTGAGTGGCGTGCAGCAGCAGAGACGTAATAAACTTTCCCCAATCCTACTTGTCCACTTCTTCCAGCTCCTGTATGCACCTCGGATTGAGTTCATAGTCCCATTGTGCTGTGTCTCTGTGAAGACACTGTCCTCATGAAAAGTGAACATCCTTTTCTGTGGGCACTGGGGCAGCATTACAGGTGCAGGGGCACTTCTTAGCCTCTGCCCTACCTGCTCTTTGTCTTGAGAAGAGTCAGTTTTTGAACATAACGAATGAAAGACTCGAATGGCTGGTGGGTTAGTTACCCTCTTTTGGTAACAAGGGAAGGTGGTAGGATCTGTGAGAGTGGGGAAAGGTGTTACTCCTGGTTTCACTGGCTCAGGCTGGCTGGTGTAGTCATCCTGCTGGCGTGCCTGGCATTGCAGTAGGCTGTAAGTTGCCATTGGTTCATTATACAGCTTATCAAGTAAAGATCTCTGGACTTCACGTGGGTTGAATCCCATATCTGCCATGACCGCCATGATTGTAGGGTCCAGGTGGCTAGGGTCCATCTTATCAGAGTGGCCTGATGAACTTGTCTCTACTTCCCTAAGCCAAGGGTGCACCATGATGTCCTTCGGTGTCGGTCTTTCTACAGGGTTTACCGTTAGAAGGAACCGGATAAGCTCTTGTAGCTCTTTTGAGAGGTGGCGGGGGATAGCGTATCGTCCTAGCAAAACCCGGCTTTCAAGTTCTTTATAGGTAGCACCTTCAAATGGTAGGTTCCCGGTCACCATAAAATACAGAAGGACGCCTAAGTTCCATGTGTCAACTTTGGTGCCGTCGTATGGTTGGCACAGGAAGAATTCCGGGGCACAAAATTGTAAGGCACCACAAAATCTAGAAAGCTTCATTCCAGGTTTGACTAAGGCACCCAGCCCAAAGTCTATGATTTTGACTTTACCTGTAGAATCAACCATGATGTTGTCAGGCTTGAGGTCTCTATGAACCACACCTATGTCATGGCAGTAGCACATGGCATGAATGAGCTGATTGAATATTTTCCGGGCTAGGCCCTCATGCAGGAAGCCAGATTGCTCAATGCACTCTGTCAGCTCACACCCATCAGCCAGTTCCAGGATCAGAAAGACTTTCTTTTTGGTTTCAATGATTTGGTGCAGAGAAATGATATTAGGATGGTTCATCATCTTCATTATTCCCACTTCCGTCCTGATTAGGTAGTAATGTATTTTCTCCTTCAGCAGGACTTTTATCGCCACGGCTGTGCCCGAGAGCCGGTGGTGGGCCAGCTTCACTTGGGCATAGCTTCCTTGGCCTATGGTCCTTAAAACGTCGTACTGGGCCCCAAGAGGCTCATATGTGAGGGTGGGCTCTACTGTCAACTCACCCTTTGGACCACACATCGCTGGTAGCAAAGCTACTCAGACAAACAGATAAACAAAACTAGGTAAGTAGGTAGGTAGGTAGGTAGGTAGGTAGGTAGATATGTAGGTAGATATGTAGGTAGGTAGGTAGGTAGGTAGATAGGTAGAGGACAGGTAGGTATAGGTAGGTAGGTAGATAGGTAGGTAGATGATAGGTAGGTAGGTAGGTGGGTATGTAGGTAGGTAGGTAGGTATATATAAAAAATTAATAGGTAGAAAAAATAAAATTAAAAAATAAATCAAAACAAAACAAAATCCACCCTCTCTCTAACGTAAGCACACCAAGCAAAAACCAAAAAAACCCAAACACTCAGCTAAACACACACAAACACATACACATACAAAGGTACACACACACACACAATCACTCACTCACACAAGTTCACTATAAATCAGTCAAATTACACAGAGCACTTCAAAACACCTCTCAAAACACCCACAGAAAGCCAGCCTAGTTCGTCCTCCCTTATATCTCCTGGTTCAGACACCCTCACAATGGCCCTCCCAATAAGGTAACACAGGACGCAGACCAGTTACTATGGTTACACTCATACTAAGGGAAAGAAGTCAAGAGTCTTAGGTGGGTCTTGGGTGTGCTTTGGAGACTGACATTTGAGCTTTTAAAATGAAAGTTTCAATATCCTTCTGGTTTCTGGTTTGAAAGTCTAGAATGCCTTCTGTTTTCAAGACCTCTTGCCCCCTCCATTCACTGTTACACAGTTTCTTTCAATTACGGCTAGTTGGTTGCAAACCATTGTTACCACTTAACTAATGTAATATTGTTTATAATATGTAATAAAATTACCTGTGAGACTATTTGTAAGACACCTTTATAGATTTTTAAATACATGTAGTTACATATCATGACTCCTTCACACTCAATGAAGTAATCTGACATGATTTCAATTGCCTGTGGAGTATCTCAACTGGCAATAGCTACCTTGATCATCACCACATGTTGCTGGGTAATCCTAGTGAGCATGAGCATCTGAAGCCCTAGAGTACAGTATCAGATAGCCAGAGAAGCATGATATCTTGATAGTCAATACCCAGGCTCCTCTTTCACTGACCTTTGACCATACTGAGAAGGCTGTATTCTCCCCTTGGGAGAATACAAGGCTCTGTCTTGAAGCTGTCTCTGTGTTGCTTCTGTCTGTGAATCCTCACTGAGTTTCTCTCTGCAGCCCTAGATCTGCCTCTTTGGTCTCATGGCTGCCTCTGCCATTGGTAACTGGATTTTATATAATGGAACAGGGCTGTTATTTGGGTTTTATCTGTTCTTTGTTACAGTGACTTTATTTAGTCCCCAAACCATCATACACTTCAAAAGTTCTTATTGTGAAAAACCACATTTTATGTTTCTATTCCGTTAAGTTTTCAAGTTTTTCTCAAGATATATTCTTGGTAGAGTGCATTCCTTTCCTGCCTCACTCTCTTTCCTTTTCCTTTTCTCTCCCTACCTCCCTTAGTCCCTCTTGTTCACATAAACAATTCCATTTCACTTGTACCTGCTTCATACATAGACAGTTTATGTGACTATATAAAATTTAGAAAAACAGATGAGAAAAAAAAGTGCTAGGTTTGTCTGAGACTGAATTAACTTTCCTTAATATGACTGCCTCCAGTTTCATCTGTTGACTTGCAATGATACAACATGCTCTTCTTTATGGCTGAGCATTTTTCTGTTATGTGTGCAGAACACATTTTCCTTAATCTACTCTTCTGTTGTTGGAATTCTGAGAAGATTCCACACCTCAGCTATTGAGAATAATGCAGTAATGACCACTGATGTGCAAACGTCTCTGTGATATGTGGACTCTGCAGTCTTTGGGGTAAATATCTGGAAGACAGCTGGGTCAGATGGAACCACTCTTGTTGTCTAAGACACCTCCACACTGATTTAAATAGAGTTGGATAAGTACTACCTTCCCTTTTGTCTACAGCCTCAAGAGTATTTGATGTTATTTGTTTTCTTATAGCTACCATTCTGACTGAGGTAAGGTATAATCTCAATGTGGTTTTCATTTGCATTTTTATGGCAAATGAGGTTGTAAATGTGTACTGCCTGTCTATTCGAATTTTCTCTTTTGTGAACTGTCTGTTCATTGCATAAGCCTATTTGTTGACAATTCTCTCCTCTTAGCTCTTGGATGTAGAACTGGTAAAGATTTTCCCTCTTTCTATAAGAGATCTCTTCATGCTGTTAACTGTTTCTTTTGCTGTGCAGAAGCAAAGTTCCCTCTTCTAAGGATAGTCATTGATTTCTACCCTTTCTACCCATTCTGATACAATGTGACTGCATCTTGGCTTAGTCATATTTGCAGAGACCTTATTTAGAAACAAGAAAACAGTCAAAAGTTTCAGCAAGGATAAATGAATTTAGAGGCCACATTATGTCACACAACACACACACACACTCACACACATTTTATACTGCTCTAAGAGTCTTTCTTTCTTTCCTTCTTTCTTTCTTTCTTTCTTTCTTTCTTTTTATTGTTAGAAATCTTTCTTACAATGGCAATATTAATAAAGGTAAACTCATCAGGAAGTGGAAGATACAAGATGAAGTTGTTTGTGATGCTTAAAATCTTAACAACTTGACTGTAGTGAGACCCCCTAGGAGATTGGACAAACACACTCCTGGGTGCATCTGTGGCAGTGTTTCCAATGATGATTGCATGTCACAATCACCCACAGAAGGTGGGGAAGACCTGACTGTGAACAACACCATCCAGCAAGCCATGGACTTGGCTGAAAGAAAAATATGGAGGAGGAGGAGGAGGAGGAGGAGGAGGAGGAGGAGGAGGAGGAGGAGGAGGAGGAGAAGGAGGAGGCAGGCAGTTGGCTGGGCTCCCTTCTCTGCCTCCTTCCTAGCCACTGTGAGCTAGCAGCTCCCCATCAGCTCTTCCACAATGACAGCTCACCTTACTGTAGCCAAATAGCCATAGGCAATTCTCTGACACCATAAACCAAAATAAAATTTCTCATGTTTGATGTTGTTTTAGTCATGTATTTTGTTATAATAATTAAAAATTCACACTTTGAAGCTGAATGTGTCCAGTTTGCCTGAACTCAGCTAGAGGTAAAGGTCAGAAGTGAATCAAAGACTAGGTAAACAGACAAGCTGCAGAGGAGATTCCCTGTCACTCCCAATAGGATCATCTTACCAGGAAAAGCATGGACAAGAGAGGAACAACTTGCAAGAGCGAGAATTGGAAGACAGCATGCAACACAGATCCTGCCTCCACCAGGAGATCTATGTGCTGTTTCTAAGGGTGTCCAGTCATGCCAGCATTCAGAATGAAACATTTCACCAATTTCTTGGGCAGCTTGCCACACGTAACAGCCTTCATATTTTCATATGCACACATGGCTACATGAGAATACTGGAAGAACTAATCCATATAATGTTACAAAACTTAATTGTTAAAGCTCTTATTAGAAAGTTGAATGGGAATCAAAACTAACCATAGGCAATTAGCTTCTATGCCTCCTTGATTACACTATTGTGGAATTTTTGGCTGCAAAGAAATTCCTAAACTGTAGACAACACTACAGCTATATGCACAATGAAAGAGATTCAAGGACAAGAAGGGCAGCATTTGATAGTGGTGCAGGTAACAGAGGGCCTCAGAAAACAAGAGGAACTGGGAAAGTATCACAGCCTCAACTTCTTTTTGTCTTAATTACTACCCTGACAGTCCAGCCCAGGAATACAAAATCAAGCATAATTTTCTTGCCCAACCTCATAGTGATATTCCCCAAGACCTGATCATCTCTTTCAACATAAAAGGGAACATAATGCTTTACTTTCTTCTACTCAAGCATGTATTTGTCTGGTAATAATTGACCCGCTAAAGAAACTTAGAAGACTTTAATGTTTGTTTGTTTATTTGTTTAAAAAAACTCTAGTCCTTTGAAAAAGTATTTCTCTTGTGCTCAACACACATTTGACTATGTCCCATTATGTTGATTGCTCAAACACTGCTAAACATTTTGAGACTACACACACACACACACCATATATTATATACATATACATATACATATACATATATATATATATATATATATATATATATATATATATCACATATATGTTTGTTTGTGAGATTTCTTTGAGACAGTGCCTCATGCAGCCCAAGATGGATTCAGTTTTCCACTGTAGCTGAGGCTAGCTTGAACTCCTGATCTTTCTGCTTCTACTTCTCCAGTAGAATTACAGGCATATGCCACGAAATTCAAATTCCATACACTGTTTTATGCTTCCATTATCTTTGTAATATCAACTTTTTTGACCCACATAAATACTCACTCCATTGTAACCATGCTCATTTCAGACTCAAAAGGAATGAAGTGGAGAAAATGTGACGGGTTTGCCCATTTAATGCCACAATTTGGAAAATAGCTCACCTGAAATCTCAAGGTCTAACCTTCTCCTCTTTCTCCATGTTTCTTATTTATCACATTATAAGTCCAAACTCAATCTGTGACAGACACGCATGTGTCTAGACAGAGAAAAAAATTGTTTGGTGAAAATTATATATTTGCAGTGTTTTGAAACTCAAAAAATAAGTTTATTCAGAGAGGAAAGAAATCACAGGTGTAAAGGAAAAATCTACCAAATATATAGTATAGGGGACCCATTGCTCTACTGTGATTTAAATCTAAAAGTGCTCCCTTCAGAACTAGGTGCCTGAAGGTTCCCCATTGCAACATTAGTAAGAGCGTGATTAGATCTTGGTGACTCTGACCTCATCAATGAGCTAATAAATTAATAGATTCACAATTTTGTGGAATTACTGGGAGGTGGCAGAAACTTTAGAACATAGGGCCTATTTGAAGGAAATAGGTTACTGGGTAAACCCCAGGAGAGTATGTCCCTATCCCTCCTCATGCTCTCAGCCTCCTGTCTGCTATGGTGTGACCCAGTCTGTGTTACACACATGGTCCTCATTGTGATGTTCCCCCTCACTACG